TTGTGCCGACAAAACTTTGTTAATAATCCCATACCAAACTACACATGTGCTGGACTTGACTCCTATCCTGGCCTAGCACCTGGGGAAGAGTGATGTCTTCATGGCCTTCTGGAAGACTAACAGGGTAGGGCCATCTGGATCTCAGATGTATAGTCAATTATTACTTTATAATATTAATACTCTAATTTGATGAATAAGTTATTATTGGAGATATATTTTTATCCTGCCTTTTTTATATACAGGTAGTCCTCACTTAGTGACCACTCATTCAGCAACTGTTACAATGTAGCTCAAAGTTACGATGGCACTAAACAAGGAAACTTACAGCTGGTCCTCAAAGCTGCAGCCATTGCAGCGTCACTGTAATCACAGGATTGCAATTTTAGCGCTTGGGAATGGCATGCAATTACAATGGTCCAGCATCCCACAGTCACGTGATCACTATTTGTGACCTTCACTGTCGGCTTCTTACAAGCAAAGTCAGTGGGGAAGCTGGCAGAAGTCGTGGTCACGTGACATCATGCTTAATGACCACACGAGATTTGCTTAATGACCACAACAGAAACTATCATCATAAGTTGGCAGAGTCATGTGATTGTTTGCTTTATGACTGTGTCGCTTAGCAATGGAGTTCCTGGTCCCAATTACAGTTGATAACTGAGGATTACCTATATAACTCAATGCTATACAATCTATATACTACACTATACAATCAAAACAAATCTACCCATTTAATAAACCCACTCAAATTTTAAGAGACTTGCAATCCTAACTCTTCATAAAATGCCAAGTTTGAAAAGATTCTTATGGAGAATTATGTCATGATTGTACCCAAGAAGCTTCACAAGGAGATTATTAGTTATTACTAGTACTTAGGTTTATTCAGAGAGGGAAGCTGAGGCAGGCCAAGCTACACTGATTGATAGGCTAAAGCAGCAGCAAAAGAAGTCCAGCCATTCAACCATTACAGATAGTGTTCAGTACCAGAGTCCAAGGGATTAATCAGAGCATACTGGTTTTGACCTTTAAAGCCCTACATGGCAAGGGGCCAGCTTATTTGAGGGACTGGCTTTCCCCAGTTACATCTCCCCATCTCATCAGGTCTGGCAGGAGAGGCATGTTTGGGTCCCATCCACCAAAAAGTTCCATCTGATGGGGCCTAGGAGACAAGTCTTTCCTGCTGTGGGACCTGCTCTTTGGGATATCGTCCCCCACAAGGTGAGGTTGGTCCCAACCCTATTGACCTTCCAGAAATCCCTTAAATGTGGGTTTTTCAGCAAGCCTGGGGAATCCCCTGCCAACGGGGAGCCCATGTGTTGGCTGCATCATGTACAATGTTCTGATGTATTCTTTTTTGTCACCTTGTTTTTTATTTATATTTATTTTAAATGGCTTTTGTATAATCTTTTAATTGTTGGTTTTATTATATGCCGCCCAGAGTCACTTTGTGTAAGATGGAGGGACATATACATTTGATACATACGTACATACATACATACATACATACATACATACATACATACTCTAGGCCAGGCCTGCACAACTTGTGGAGGGGAAAGGGCCACATTAGTAAATTAAAAATTCTTCTGGGCCACAGAGAAATACCTGGAGTGCCAATCAGCTGTTCTGCAGCTAGTGGAGCCGTAGAACCATTGGAGCTGGCGGTTGCAGCGGCTCTAAATTTACTACTCTTTAAAAAATGGTGGGCCACACTTAATGACTGCAATCAGGAGCGCCTGGATTGTGGTTATTGAGTGAAACAGTCATGTGGGCATCTCATTTAACGACCACTTTTCTCAACGATCTTGATTCCGGTCCCAATTGTGGTTGTTAGGCAAGGACTACCTGTAGTCACAGTTTGGCCTTAAAGTTTAGCTCTCCAGTGTAATTCTATATAGCATTTTCACTTTTATGGATCTGGAGACTGTGTGATAGTTCCAAGATCCAAAATTTTGATAACCCAGTCCAAAGAACTAAAAAAATGTGCTGAATCTTATTTTATATTATATAATGATGCAGCATAACCTCTTCCTTTTCAATTTCAATATGTTGCTATTGCCACCTTTCCACTAGCATGATTTGATAGTACATTTCTTTTAAAAAGTTTTAATTACAGATTATGCCACCACAACCCAAACAAGAAACAGGTTAGTAAAAACAAAATATCTAGCAGCATTAAGAGAAAATGAACTGGCTGTGTAATTAGAGACTCCTATAATTACGCAGGAAAAAAATCCAAAGACATGAGCATCTTTGTAAGAAATAACTAGAACAGTTTTGATACTAATAGTCAGACAAACCTACTGAAGTCTGTCTGATCATCACCATAAATTCTATCTATGCATTTGCAAACTCTCTGGTTCTATAGGTTTAGAATCAAAAGAATCATAGAATCATAGAATTATAGGGTTGGAAGGGACCTTGGAGGTCTCCTAGTCCAACCCCCAAAAGACACTAAAATGATTTGCATTTTGCAAGCAATATATCAAGCATGGGTGCATAAGAACTGAATTGCATAGTGTCATCTACATCGTTTAAAGTTACACTGGCATTGGCAAAGACATGAAGTAGAAGAACAACCCCCCCCCCCCCCAATCAGATGGAAATCAGGAACAAAACCATCAAGGCACGATGTGAGAGCCTTGCTTAACTTTGGAATCCTCGATGGAATGGCAGTACCGTTAGTTTTGCAGATACCGCCTGCATGTTTTAAAAGTTAGTGGTAAAAGTAGCAAACTAAGCAGAAAGAAAATTAATGTATAATATTTAAAGAGATTACCAGAAAGCTGAGTTGTAGCTGGAAATCATATACTGATCTCGAGCTATGGTTGATTTAAAATAAACGTATTTTCAAATGCATGGATGGATTTACACTCCTAGGATAAAGGTAAGAAATGAAAAAATCCATGTGGCCAAAAGGTTAATTGTAATTCAAAAGATTCTGGGATGTTAATTTTTCATGTTTTTGTTTGTTTGAACAAAACATAATTATATAGTCCATGATTATATGAAAAATAATGCTTCCAAAATCTTGTGAAGTCTAAATAGAACTAAGTTCAATTAAATATGCCTCAAAGCTCTTGGCCCTATTTATTTGGGGTACAAATCCTTCTATCAGAACAGAGATTGTGCTCTTTAAGATATTCTAGCATTTAATTTATAGTTATGAGTCTTTTCCTTAATTTTAACTCTTATTAAATAGAAACAATAATGGAAGCATGCATAGAACAGAGTACTGAATTGAAGGAATAGCCTCCATTAAAGACCCTCACTTATATACTCCCATTAGTATATTACTTAGAGAAGTTCTGTTCTCTGTAGTAGTTTGCTCTCCATAATAGGAGATGTAGAGGCTGTCTGACTCCAAAGCAACTCTGGGCAGCTATGCTGGTCTGTGACTGTAATAAAAATTTGATTTGAAATCTGGGCAGCGTACATTAAGTGAAAACATTAAAGAAAACAGTAAAAAAACAGCAGGTAAATCCTGTGCTTCCCACTCATTCTGATACAAACATTACCTACAGAGCTCCACCAACACTCTACCCAAGGCCTGGGAGAATTGCCAGGGTTTTAAGGCCTTCTGGGACACCATCAATGTTTGACTTGCAGCTTAACAGAACTGTTTCTGTTATAATCTTGGTGGTTGGGCCCAAAATGTACGATTTACTTTTTAGACTACAGTAACAATATGTAAAAAATGTCCAGGTATCAATTGTTCCCAGCCTGTCGTCTTATTATAGGCAGACCAATAATGGTCTGTGAGTGCATTACCTCCAGTTGTGCAGGTGGGGATATTATCATCATAATTATTTCATTTTAGATATAGCAAACAGCATCTAGGGGTTGGGGGGGAATGTATGCCAGGTGACTTATGCACGAGTCCTCAAAAATAGGACTTTTCACTCAACCTGATAATGTAGAGGTCCCCATACAGCAATGTTGTCCAAACTTGGCCACTTTGAGTGGACTTCAACTCCCCCAAATTCCCCCACCACCCAGCCTGGCGGGGGGGTATTGGG